CCTTACACAATTCTATCTTTCCCATTTCATCGATCTTTAAGTTTTCAACCAACTCATCAAGTGAAATTATGCCCAACTCATTGGCTTCCTAATTGTAGTGACTTTTGATTCCCATGAAGCTGGAAGGATCCTTAAAACTTTGCTAACCAACTCTTCTGAGGTAAACACCTTTCCAGGTGACTTCAGTTTATTAGTCATTATAGTAAACCTAGACATCATCTCCTGGATGGGCTCAGACTGGTTCATGGAGAAGAGCTCATAAGTAGTTCTATTCTTAATCTCTTTACTTGTTTTGTTCTTTCACGAGTGGTTTGGAGTTCATCCCAGATCTCCTTTGCATTAGAGCAAGCAGATATTTTGTTGTACTCATCAGGACCAAGTCCATAGATAAAGATGTTCTTAGCCTTTGCGTTCTTCTTAATCATTCTGAAATCTGCTGCCACAAATTCAGAGGGGTATTTAGAAACTGTTTCATTTTGCGCATTTATTTAGTAGGAGTTAATGGACCTTGGTTCACTATGGTTCATAGTTTATAGTCTTCAGTTGTCACGAAATATTTCATTCTTGCTTTCCACAAACTATAATATTTTCCATTGAACATGGGTGATCTAGCAGTTGATTGTCCTTCATTAATTCTGGGTGGAATACTCATTTTGCTTCCAAGATCTCTCTAGGTATTAGCCGTGTGTGTGAGAGAACCTGCTCTGATACCAATTGTTAGTGTGAGTACCCTTATGACTTACTAAAGAACTTGGTTCTTTACCATATTCCTTAAACGTGAAGTAAAATAAGAAGTAAAGTAAACACAATAATTTTATGTGAAAAATCACCCGGCTCAAAAGATACAAAAACCACGACATACTACGTAAGATTTTCAACTTCAACTCCACTAGAACAATGAGCCAAAATGTATCGATTACAAGACTGTAATTTAATACTCTCCAGTACTCCTACTACGACTATTTGATTTACAAGTTACTCTAACCTGTAAAGCAAACGCTCATTCCAACTCATTCATTATTTGTGACACTTTGATTACAACTCGATTTCCTAAAATACATTCACTAGACTGACTCAAGAAGAACAAAACACTGGTACTCGATAGAATATGTAAAATGTAGTTCTTCAATTAATGTGTGAAAGGACGTCCTCATCAGTCCAGATGGATAGTATGTAAATGTCTGGACTTCAAGATCCTCTAGGAGTCTTATACATAGTCAGCTTCTCGTTTGATATGACTCCTACTGTTTCAAGGACTTCACAAGTCTTGAGACTCTTGTCTCTCACTTATTTATTCATATCTTCTTGATCAACAACTCTTATCATGTGTAGCAGCCTTCTTCCACCAAATTCGGACCCGGATAACTTTGAGATAAAGTTCTTGTCTTGCAAAGACGTATAATCATCAACTATGAGGAGCCGGTCCTTCGCCTTAATGAGCTAGTTCTTGGAGCAATTAAGCAGCTACGTTGATGACCTGGCTTTTCGAACATTACATCTGAACAACTTTGTTAATTATCAAAATCACAATACTCAACACTTTTCAATCTTTTCAGCTACCATATTTCTCAATTTTCTTCAACGACGAAAACAAAGGAAAAAACTAGGAAACGCTGAAATATTTTTTTTTTTTTAACAAAGGTATAATTTATTTATTATCGCTTTATTGACTAGGAAAGGCTCTTTGGCATGTAGGTTTTATTGATCCTCTCCTAGTTGGAAGTCAAAGGTTATAGTTTATTATAATTTCATCTTTTTGTATTATATATATATATATATATATATATATATTAAAATGTTTTAAAGAAGGGGTAATATAGCAATAGGTACATCCTCCCTTGACAACAAGCTTTTCTTACATTGCACTTGAAAGTTGAAACACATGTTTTTTTTTTCTATTTTATTTGTTTTTTTTTCCACTAGGGATGATTCTTAGTGCTCAAATATGTCATTTGACTAGTGCGTCAGACGCTATCCATTTACAGATCAATTATATCTTCTTTTCGGTACTTATTTAACTTATCGAAATTGTTACTTTTGTTGCAAATGATTTTTAAAGACGATAGAATATATGGACTTAATGTAAAATCAAGACAAAAATTGTAACACTCTGATTAAAAACAAAGATATTTAGAAAACACAAAAAAAGTTTGAAATTTCAGAGAAGCATCCAATATTGATGCGTTATGTGCTTAATTGATTAGGTTGATGAATCAATTATGTCTGCTTTAGCCTCTAGGATTACTCTTCAACTTGTGAAACGCATGCAGTTCTGGCTCGCCTCGTGTTATTTACACTA